CTTCCGACAAGCTGTCCCCTCGCGCTGCTCCCTGCGTCTTCCTGGGGTTCCCCCCCGACGCCCCTGGGTGGCAGTTCTACCACCCCACCTCTCGACGTGTTCTGTCCTCCCAGGACGTCACGTTCGACGAGTCGGTACCCTACTACCGCCTCTTCCCCTACCGCACTCCGTCCCTCCCCCCGCCCCCGCTCTTCCTGGTACCAGGTCCCCCCCCCGGTAGACCCCCTCCCCCCTCAGGGTCCTGCCCCTTCAGGTGTGTCCCAGGTAGACGCGGTCGAGCCTGTCGAGGTCACTGGTGACTCTGGTGCTGCTGCGGGAGCTGAGCCTGGAGGTGCTGGTACTGGGGGTGCTGAGCCTGGGGGTGCTGAGCCTGGGGGTGCGGAGTCTGGGGGTGCTGAGCCTGGGGGTGCTGAGCTTGGGGGTACTGAGTCTGGGGGTGCTGAGCCTGAGGGTGCTGGGCCTGGGGGTGCTGCGACTGGGGGTGCTGAGACTGGGGGTGCTACGTTTGGGGGTGCTCCACCTGGAGGTGCTTTGCGTGAGGGTGCTGAGCCTGGAGGTTCTCCGCCTGGAGGTGCTTCGTCTCGCCGAGAGCCACTCTCCCCACAGGAGCTACGTGAGTGGTTTGCCCGGCGCTGGAGGCGTACTGCTGGTGCTGGAGGTTCTTCGACTGCAGAGGGTACTGCTGCCGCACATCCCGGAGGTGCTCGTACTTTGGGTACTGGAGCTGCTGGGCCTGAGGGTTCTCCTGGAGCTGGTACTGCTGAGGGTGTTGGCGCTGAGACAACCGCTGGCGGCCCGACTCGCAGTTTCTCCTGGTGCTGGAGGTGCTGCTGGAGGTTCTGGTGCTACTGGAGGTACTACTGGAGCGGGTGCTCCTGCTGGGGGTACTGGTGCTGTCCCTGCTGTTTCTGGCGTCGCCACGCGGCCCCGACCGTACTTCGTTCTGCTCCTGCAGCAGGTTCTTGGTCTTACACCTTCTCCTGGTCCTCCTCCTCCTCCCTTAGAGGGTCCACAGCCTGTCCAGTCCCAGTCACAGCTACAGCCTGCCTCCCCTTTGCCTACTCCTTCTCTCTACACTGGTCCGACTTGAGGCCTTACTGAGCGTCGTGAGCCTGCGTCTCGTCCTGCGTCGCCTGTTCGTCATGCACGCACTAGTGGCCGCGGTTCGCGTCAGCGTCCTCCTCCTGTCCCTGGCACGCACCGGATGTCTCTGCGTCCGTCCACTGCTCCTCTGCGTGCCCCTTTGCCTTCTCCTCCTGCTTCCTCTCTTCCTGCTCTTGCCGACCCGGAGTCGGACTCTCTTCGTGCTGCCAGTCCTACTGTCACGCGTCTCCTTGCTACTGCTGTCACTGACCCTTCTTTCGAGTCTTCTGCTGCGTCTGCCCTTGTCACTGAGCTCGTCGACTTTGCTGCGCGCTGTCGTCTAGACTACGCTGCTAGTCTTGTCGCTGAGTCTGAGTCTGCCTGTCCTCCGTCCGTCGGGGATGAGTGTGCCCTTGGCACGGACGTTCTTGAGGACAGGCAGGAGGAGTTCCAGTGTCTGGCCGCTGCTTCACCTCATCTCGCGTCTGTATGCTAGCCCCTGAGGGAGACCCGGATGCACTAGACATCCCGACTCCACGCTCTTACGCGGAGGCGATAGAGGGTCCCTACTCCTCTCAGTGGCAGGCAGCTATGGATGCAGAGATGGCTTCCTGGAAGTCCACAGGCTCCTACGTTGACGCTGTTCCCCCTCCTGGGGCGAACATAGTCAGTGGCTTGTGGATTTTCAGGGTGAAGCGGCCGCCGGGTTCTCCGCCTGTTTTCAAGGCGCGTTACGTTGCTCGTGGCTTCAGTCAGCGGCAGGGAGTTGACTACTTTCAGACCTTCTCCCCCACCCCGAAGATGACCACTCTTCGGGTACTCCTGCACGTTGCTGCTCACCGTGACTACGAGCTGCACTCTCTCGACTTCAGCACTGCTTTCTTGCAGGGCAGCCTGCATGAGGAGATCTGGCTGCGTCGCCCACCTGGCTTCACTGGGTCTTTCCCTCCTGGTACCCAGTGGAGTCTCCGGCGTCCAGTCTACGGTCTCCGCCAGGCGCCACGTGAGTGGCATGACACCCTGAGGACTGCTCTGGCGGCACTTGGGTTTGCTCCTTCTACTGCCGACCCGTCGCTGTTTGTGCGCACCGACACCTCTCTGCCGCCGTTCTACATCCTCGTGTACGTCCACGACTTGGTCTTTGCCACTGCTGACACTGCTGGACTCGCCTACGTGAAGTCTGAGCTGCAGAAGAGACACACGTGCACTGACCTGGGTGAACTGCGCAACTACCCTTGCCTGCAGATCACCCGGGACAGAGCACGCCGCACCATTGCCTTGACTCAGTCACACATGGTGCAGCAGGTCCTTCAGCGCTTCGGCTTCACGTACTCCTCGCCTCAAGCCACTCCTCTGCCTACTCGCCACTCGCTCTCAGCTCTGCCTTCGGATGAGTCCGTAGAGTCGAGTGGTCCGTATGCAGAGCTTGTTGGCTGCCTCATGTACCTGATGACCTGCACACGACCTGACCTTGCAAACCCTCTTAGCATTCTCGCACGCTATGTTGCTCCTGGGAGACACCGACCAGAGCACATGGCTGCAGCGAAGAGGGTGTTGCGCTACTTGTGCAGTACGTCGGGTATGGGGCTAGTGCTTGGAGGGCGCAGTCCAGTGGTCCTCACTAGGCACGCGGACGCTTCTTGGGCTGACGACCAGGCTACGCAGCGGTCGTCACAGGGTTACACCTTCAGCCTTGGTTCCGGCTCTGTTTCGTGGCGGTCTACCCGCTCGTCTTCTGTTCTCGGCTCCAGTTGTGAGGCTGAGATCTACGCCGGGGCTATGGCTGCTCAGGAGCTTCGCTGGCTCACCTACCTGCTGACCGACCTTGGAGAGCCGCCTCGTTCTCCTCCAGTCCTGTACGTAGACAACAAGGCCATGCTGGCCTTGTGTCGAGAGCAGCGACTGGAGCACAGGACAAAGCACATTGCTCTCCGCTACTTTCTTGCTCGTGAGCTGCAGCAGCGTGGACAGTTGCGACTTGCGTACGTGGCCTCTGAGGCCAACACTGCTTATGTCTTCACCAAGGCACTTGCGCCTTGTGATCATCAGCGTTGCTGCACGCAGCTGGGTCTTGTGCCTGTCTTGCCTCACTTGCTCACTTCTTGACCTTGCTTGTACCTTGACCTATATATACTCTTGTTCTTGCTTGCTTGACTCTTGTATATCTCTATATATGATCTTGCATGTGAACTGGCCTTGTGGCCCTTGAACTTGTGCTCGGAATGTGTGGTGACTTTGTGATCCACCCTGAGCTTTGCTTTGCTTTGCTTGACTGGTCTTGTGACCCCTTGTTCTCCCCCACTTTGCCTATGGGGGTGTGTCAGAACATTATAGCTTACTTATTTGTGTAGGCTATAGTGGGGTGTCCCGTAGGGGGTACAACCCAATTAGGGTTTCCTATTTGTACTCACTTAGTTCATAGTCATTCCATTCTCGTTCAATTCTCCTCAATTTCACTACGGATGGTTTTGTTTTGTTATTTCCTGTCGAATCACTCTGCGATCCGCCAGGTGGCGTTTTGTTTCTGGGTTTAAGTTTACTGCTCAACACAGATCAGAAACCACAACTGGTGATTGTAAACAAAACGCAGTGTACTGTGGTAACCTGGTTCGCGCCCACGGGGTGTGTGAAATGTATGCAAGCATAATCATGATTACGCACATGTGGGGTTATCGGAACGAAGATTCCTCGAAGCTTCGTCTCGATAACGTTGCATTCAGGACGCGGCACCTCAAGCAATTTTGCACGATCGATCGCAGGATCGCTGATTCAAGCGTACTGAATTCTTTTTGAAAGCATTTAAATCTTTTAATATCAATTTAAACTCTTACAACGTTCGATCCTGCGCAGGATCAATCGCAGGATCGGTGATAGAGGTGCCGCGTCCTCAAGGTCCACTAGACGCATACTCTGTACTGACTGGGTCCATAAGAGCACTACTCTGTGAGTGTTTACAAAATTTCAGGGTTCGCTAAAGTACTAATCTGACAGGATCAGTGTTCAGAAGTCATTAAAACTGAAATTGCAGGGACCAGAATGTGAAAAGTCTGAAATCACCCTGAAATCAAGGTAATTACCCTGATAAAATCAGCCCTGGCAGTGACCCCCCCACATGTGCGTACCGTATTCTACCGGTTAAAACACCCCCCCGTAATTGTACACCTCCGGGTAGCTTATACGGGGTGGGTGTTATATCCGACACCGTTAGTACTATACCCCCCTTTTTGGGGTGATTCTCTATAACACCCCCCTTTTCTTATAAATTCCTATTATAGCTGTTATCGAGTCCGATTCCTTACGGGAGGATATCGCGAAAATCACTCCCTAGAAGAAATTTCGCATGTACTTTCACTTAGAATCAGCCGAGATATCCCCCCTCCCACAATCTCGCTGTCGCCACGCTAGTGAATCCCGAAATCTCGCTGTCGCCACGCTGGCGAATCTTCCACTGCAAGTGGTCCAAGAGGTGAAGTGGCCCAAGTGGCCCACAATATCCTCGTACTTGGTTTTGCGGCATTGATCAACAATCTTGAAGTGAATTCAGACCACTGATTTTGTTTCACATCTTTTCTGTTTTATAAAAAATATACCATATCATAAGACCCGGGTATTATATAGGATTTTCCTTTGAGGAGACCCCCCCCATTTTTTTCCAGTGGTTTTCATGATACCCTAGGGTGTTTTATCCAGGAGAATACGGTAGCTGAACACACTGCAACACCAAAAACCTGTATAGTGTGGAGAGTCAAATTACTGGACTAATAGTATGATTTGTTTGCACCCTGATCTTTAAGAGCAGTTTCTGTTAAGCACCCTTACTGGAAGAGTAAAAGCTGGGTGTTGGCCTTAGAAGAAAGAGTACCCCAAATCCTATTTAGAGGCCTGAACTTTTTCTATGTCCACATTTCTTCTGCCACTCACCTTGCCACTGTTTCACAACTCACATTCGCACTCCTCTTCCTGCTGGTCCTGCCGGGGCATGTGAGCTTGTGGGAGGGCCAGTGCGCCTTTTGGCAGTCTCTGCTGCAATACGCCACCTTGCCACACCCACCGCAGCTCCTCAGCTTCACACCACCACCTTCCAAACTCGCACACCCCGCAGCACCGCACCTACTTCCCCTGCACGCATCGGGACCAAAGGCCTTTGCATCTGCTACGGGTGCAGGTGCAGCTGCAGTGCCTGTTGCAGCACCGTTGGTTGGAGTGACATGGGTGGACGAGGCATCATGGGTTGACGTGGTAGCAACGGTGTGCACAGGTGGGTGGGTAGAGGAGACAGCAGTGCTCGGAGCAGCAACATTGGTTGGAGCGGCAGGGATGGAAGAGGCAGAGGCCGTTGTATTTGGTGCTGCCGCAGTGGTGTTGGCAACAGAAGGAGGGACGGAAGCGGCAGCCGGGGAAGCGTGGCGGTAGCATGGCTCCCCCAGCAGCATCTCCCGCAGACATGCCACGAGATTGACTCCCCCAGGCCATGGAATCTGATAAGGTGGCAGCTCCAGCTTCTTCCCCTTTCCCCTAGTGCTCTTGCTACCATCAACACCAGCACCAGCACCAGCACCACCACCAGCACCACCACCAGCACCAGCAACACCACTAGCACCATCACCAGCACAAGCAATATCACTAGTGCCAGCACCATCACCACTTTCTCTGCCACTACTACCGTTGCTGGCGCTGCCAGTACCAGCAGCAGCACCAATCCACATGACTGCATCACTACTGCTGTTGCTAGTGCTGCTTCTCCACGCAGCCCAAGCACGGTCCCGCACCCTTTGTCTGATCCTCTTCGCCGCCCCTGTGTTGACTATATTAGCCATCCGCGTGTCCACGTGCGCCCTCTTCTGCCGCCCCTCACTGCCCGTGCACACACCACTGAGACCTGAACGAGCCGACTCGACATTGGAATTGCTCAATGCAAGACGCATGGCAGATGGCCAAGCTACTTTTGCCGTGTAGCACCATGACTGCAACTCCTCCCACACCTCCCCATCGTCCTCCTCCTCCTCCTCCCCTCGTGCCTTCCCTTTCTTCCTCCCCACCCTCTTCTTCACTCGAATCCCGTCCCCCTCCTCCGCCCGTTTGCTCTCAAAGTGTTCCATATCCAGAATGGAGGCGGGCCACGTGAGGGCGACGAACATGAAAAAGCCAAGGCGCTCCGCCTCTATCTCGCCGCGCAGCCTCGCCAGGTTGGCCAGCGCAGGCGGGCCTGGGGGAAATGGCGACAACCCCATCGCCTTCACAAGCTTGTCGAACCCAGCGGAGTGCGGCGGGAAGACGGATAGAAAGCGGTTGACGAGGACACTGAGGGGGCGGTAGGCAAACTTGGCGTCGAGAGCGATGGATGGGATGAAGGAGGTGTAGCTGCGGTAGCATCGGATGCATTTGGCGCATGCGAGTGGGCTGGCAACGAGGCTGATGGCGTCCACAATGAACTCAGCATCCTCCACACATCCAACCATGGGCACCTCTCCTCTCAGAGGTGGCCGCGCAACAGTCATGCCGGACGCATGTGAAATGCCTCCTTGGTCTTCCCCAAACCCTCTGTTTGTATCACCCCCTCTGACGTCACTTCCTTTGCCAGATGCCTTGGCTTTTCGCCCCTTCTCCCTAACGTGCTTCCTCCCAAACTTTGAATCTTGTTCTGTTACCCTCTGACCACACTCCACTCCCATTGAACTCTCCTCCACAATACCCAGCTGAAAGAATCTCGCATCGGGATCATCAGGTAGCTTTGCAGCAGCTTCATCGCCCTGTGACCATTCCTCCCACTCCATAGGAAAAATACCATCATCAAGAGGTTTCGGGATGGCGCCGAGCCTGAGCAGCAGGCTCGGAAGGTCTCAAAATGGATGGGGCATTTGCAGGATCCCTTTCTCTCGCCTACTCCTGGAGCATCCTTTTACAAAGAGGATGTCTGAGCCGTATAATCGAACCCAGTGTAGGATGCAAGCAACTCGATACGTGAAGGCTGCGAGGACAGGACTTGTGCTTACGAGATCAGAACTGTAGCTGCTGCGAGTGCCGTGTACTCGTGTAAAAGGTTGGGTTTCAGCTGGAGCAGCAGCAGTGGCAGCAGACGAACGCGCCATTGCTGATGCTTCCGCTGGCTTATGCGTGCTTGCTGCTGCCCCACTCGTGCTTGCTGCTGCCCCACTCGTGCTTGCTGCTGCCCCACTCGTGCTTGCTGCTGCCCCACTCCTGTCTGCTACTGCCCACTCTCCTCCTATTCCTCTTCTTCCCTTTCCACCTACCTCTCTTCTCAGCCTGCTTCTGGCCTCCTCGATTGCTGCCTCTTCCACCCTCACCTTATTGGCATTGTTCCCATCCAGCACGTATAGAACCGCCTCGATACACTTCTCTGGCTTAGACAGCTCCGCGGCCAAAGCAAGAGCAAAATCCGTGGCACTTACCCCACTCACATACATGCCCTTAGGAATACCATTCAATTGCACGTCACTGCCAGTGTTGCTGCCCCCCTCCTCACTGCAGTGGCTGCATCTAAACTCCCTCCCTTCCCCCTCTCCATGCGCCAGAATCTAAGCCATGCCATCCACATACCTCTCCCACACACGCCCCTTCAAATTCTCCCTCCACTGCCCATTCTTCCCCCCACTACCACCCTCCCCAGCAGCTGCATTATTCTCCTCGCGGCTGTGCATCTCTTCCCCTCTGCTCGCCTCGCTGCAATGCTCCGGTTCCCCTTCGTCCCCTCTGCCCTTCCCACCACCAGTATCAACCTGCGTCACAATCAACCTTGCCAGGTCACCTCCCTGCTGCTCCTCCTTTTCCATGCCCCCACCCCTATCCATCACCTCGCCATTCGCCCGTCCCTCCTCCCCCTGCGCATTCTCAGCAGCCCCCCCCTCAGCTCCGCCCCTCCCCTCACCATGCGCCTTCTCCAGCCCGCCTGACAGCACATGCTGCACGAAGAACCCAAACCCTTCCTGCAGCTCAGCACTCTCCTTCACCCCCAGCACCTGCACCAGCATGGACACAAAGCAGTCGTTTTCAATCTGTCTGGTCGCCCCCAGCTGCATGATAGCCGGATAAGCGGCGGAGTGAGTAGACAAAGACACCGTTCTTAGGTTCACAACACGCGGGCACCGCGCTACTAGCATGAGGAACGCAGCAAAGCTGACAGCCCGGCGGTAGGCAGCCCAGCGAGTAGCCCACGTCTCACTAGCAGCAGCAGAAGCAACAGGTGTTGCAGGAGGCACTCCTGTAGTTGTACCAGTATTTGTAGCAGCCAAAATGGCAGGCAGGCGGGATCTGATCCTCCCCAGGTCCATGAGCACACCCACACGCGGCTCAGCCATCCACTCGACAATCATCGCCTCGGCACAGCGCATGGGCGCCACCACACACTTGACGCTGAAGACCGGTTGAGGTGGCGAACACTCCAGAGGCTTCATGTGTACTCCTGCAGAGTACTCAGCAATGGCGCTGGCTGGTTGACTGAAAGGGACGAGCGGGATGGAGTCAGGCAAATGCGCCAGAAGGAGGGAACGAAATCCTGCCAGGCCCACCATGCGAAGTGCGAGCTGTGCGCGGTAGCTCACGGCACGGTCGAAGCAACACTCGCACTCCTGCCAATCCCAGGCGCCTCTCACATCCACGTAGTGTAACATGTCCGCCCGCGATAGCATCTGAAGCTTCTCGGGCCCCTCTTTAGCCCCTACTCTCCTGCTGCACCTTCTTTGTTGCCGCGTTGCCGCCCCTGGTTCGCCCTCTTTGTCGTGGCGAAGCCACTGCGCCGCCATCTTAAATCGGTGTACCAATTTTGTTTCCCACTCCTCGTCGTCGCTGCTGGGCTCCTCAGCCTGAATAGTTTAAGGAGGCACAATCACTGCGGCAGATGCAGCAACAGGCACACCCGATGCATCTTCACTTTATTGTCACATAATTCTCCCCCCTACACTCCTAACAACTTTTCAATGGTCGTACCCGTCTCGAAATTTCGATGCGTTACAGCTTGAATCGCGCAATAGGTACTACACCACCTGGCCATACCCAATGGAGCTGATGCGTAGTGAGAATTCGATGGAGCACTACGTGAATTTGTCTCATAGAAGAACTCAGCTCGTGCTGTAAATCGAACCCTGTAGTAAACCATTGCCGAAGCTGTTGATGGCTCATTGTACGTACAATTCGTCACTGCTCTGCATCGTTTGTAATCTCATGCTTACACTGCCGACGAGAATACCCGACAACAGATATGACACATTTGAGAGATCGTAAGGCTATGGTTCCACCTCGGAATTCGTGTGGGTTATTGCAGCCTATAAATTGGCACGCAAAGAGATGTGAGAGCCGAGAGAGCGTGAAATGTCGGAAATCTCGAAGTGGGAAATCTGACAATTTTCCCCATGTCACGACTTCGCTCCAAGGCCTACCCAAACGTAGAGAAGTGTAAACGAGCCGCTCTAACAAGCACAGCATCGCACCTCACCGCAATAGAATGAACGCATCCCATGTATAACACGGTTGCTAAGGCATGAGCACGTACGTAAGGGCGCGTCAAATCCGTTACAAGGTGATTTGGCTGGAATATAGACGAGGATTCGGTAGATTATATCTTTCCCCAAAGAAGACAACATGGCCGACTTTGAAAGCGACGAATATCCGGCCACATTTATAGGGCCGAAAAATCTGACACATTCGGTGGCAGAATTGCAGGCCGCTTTGCAAATGTGTCGATTTTCAGTTCGCACAAGGTGGCAGGATTGTGCGATGGTGCCGCAGATGTGTCAGAAATGAAAGTGTTGTGTTATTGATGTGGGTTGGGGTACATATAGCAAACCCTAATATTTGTACCCCCTAAGACAAACTTCACTACAGGCTACAACATTTGACACACCCCCATAGCCTAAGTGAGGGGTGTCAAGCAAGACCAAAAGTGTACGGTCACAAGACCAGTCATAAAGAAACAAAGCTCAGGGTGGATCACAATGTCACCATACACTCTGAGCACAAGCAACAGGGGCCACAAGGCCAGTCCAAGAGTTCACAAAGGTGTATGGCAAGAGTACAAGCAAAGCAAACAGTAAACTCAAGTCTACACACGACTAAAACCTGTGTCAACAAGACCTAACAGCACACAACACCTCTAGTGGTCACAAGGCGGAAGCGCCTTGGTGAAGATGTCTGTAGTGCTGGCCTCGGACTCCACAAACTCGAAGCGAGCCTGTCCATGTCTCTGCAACTCTCGCAGAAGAAAGTACCTGACGTTAATGTGCTTCACTCTGCTCTCCAGTCGCGGCTCTTGACACAGGAGAATCGACGTGTTGTTGTCAGTGAACAAGGTCGGTGCAGAGCTCGGCCGCTCACCAAGGTCGGCGAGCAAGAAGGTCAACCAACGCAGCTCCTCTGCTGCCATGGCACCAGTATTAGATCTCACCCTCAGCAGTAGAGGTCGAGACCGAAGAGGAGCACGTGGACCTCCACGAAAACAGCTCCAGAACCCAAGCTGAAATAGTACCCCTGCGTAGACCTGTGAGTCTCAGCGTCGTCAGCGTAAGAAGAGTCACAGTGACCAGTAAGTATGACAGACTGCTGCCCTCCAAGAACTAGCCCCATGCCTGATGTCGTTGCTAGGTACTTTGCCACCCTCACACCTGCCGTCCAGTGAACAGGACGGTGTCTCACTGGTGCAACAAAGCGAGCAATGATGCTGAGAGGGAAGGCGAGGTCCGGGCGAGTACAAGTCATCAG